GAAGCTATGGGAGACCGGTGGCGATCTTAAACGCACAATCCTATTTGTGACCCAGACGGGACTCAATGTTTAGCATGACTGATGTCGAACGCAGAAGAAGAAGAACTACCCAGAGACCAAGTGAAATTGCTAGAAGTCCAAGTCCAGGTGAAAAAATCCCAGCTCTTACCGGGTTCGAACACAGAACCTCTAGCACTCGGGACTGACACCATCCCTCGAGACCACGCAATCCCCATCCCTTCCTTAATGTTGGTTTAATTTATTTGGGGGCCGGGGATGCTGAAGGGGTCTCTCCTACCCAGCTGTTGCCTAGTTTGTGACGAGGATGTGGTTGAAATAATATAAATTTTAACTAGAAACTGTGTAAGGCGGAAAAGGGAACGAGGGGTGGTGGGTTGAGCGACGCCCCTTCCTTAGTGGGAACTTCAAGGTCGCTCGCCTGATCCCGTGTAACAAATCTGGGCTTTAATGGGGTATGTAGAGTGTTTATTTTTAAATTTAGAATTCGAGTATCTTCTTCTTCTTCTGCGTTCATCCGAAGATGTAATTGCGCTGTGTCCGTTTACAGCATGGCTGCGATATTGGCACCTTTCGGCCAACACATCCGACTTCTGCGGGCATTTGTTAACCGGGTTAGCCTTCCCGGTTAGGACATGGCAGTCTCATTGTTGTGTGGTCATCTTTATTTCCCAGGTCACAGGTGGTGCACCAATCAGGCTGGTCCAGAGAAGCCACATAATGCTGATCAGCCCTCAAGAGAAGGCAGGGGCAGAACATGAGCATTCCCCGCCATCCAAGGAGGCATCCACAAATGCAGAGCTAATACATGGTGCACTGGCACTGGGCTCACCCAAGGAATTTTCACGTCCTGCTCGGTTGATTCCATGACAGATACCGTAAATCTTGGAGAAATGTGGCTTTTCTGCCTACCCCCAAGGAGTTCGTCACCCGGTTGCCGCTAAGTCAGGTTTAGCCAACTACGCTAGCGAGCCGGGAGTTCAAATTTCGATGGTACTATAAACAAACTGATTGTATATTAATGACCGACAAGTCGATCTTTAGTCGGCTGTGGTATATCCATTTCACCTTTCTCCTGAGTTTTGGTCGTCGGACAGATCCACTGGTCCCTCCTCGAAGCGCCATTTCCCTCAGACTGTAATCATCCATATGTGGCTCCGCACTGTTCAATCTCCCCAAAGGACCCTCACCACATCTACATGTCATGCATCGATTCACCACCATGTTGTGCAGAGCCAGTCATTCTATTTGACTGTTCTTTTTCTCAATACATCCGCATGCCCTGTAGAAGATATAAAAAAAACGCTAACTCCACTGCACATTTGAAGTGATGCTTGCCACTCCTCACGCAGAATACCTGTCTCTGCATTTCCTAACATAGTCTGTGAGTCAGTTACAATCACAACATGTGTGTACAGCTGATTCTCAAGTCAGCGAAAGGCTGCAGAGACTACCTCAACCTCGGTTCTCAAATTAGTTGTGTTGTCAGATGCCAGGCTTTGCTGCACTAAACGACGTCCATTCGCTTTTACTAAGAACCCCCATAAACTTCACCTGCCTCTCAACGGTGTGTTTAGTAATTTAGTACAGCCGGTGTTTACGTTAAAAAGACCCGTATGACGGAGAAAGGAAGTCAGAGCTGGGCTTGTAGGAAACCGTCAACAACTTACAGGGGATTTATTATACTAGGAACTAGACGCAAATTTGCACAATGGTAAGTAATTATTTGTTAGGATTGACTGCTCGTTATTTTGTAATTATTAATGCAGCCTATTTTTCTGAAAACAGTGGTCCCCTAGCAGTTTTTGCACATTATATTTATAAATGCGTAAATTAGTTTTCGGTGAAAAAAAATCTAGCAGAACACCAGCAAATGATGATGATGATCATGATGGTCGATACACAGGGAGATAGGTGCGTTAGAATAAAAAAAATAATGAAAGTCGGGTTTAGATAGATGTAGAAATAAAATGTTATCTTATTGAAATTGAAATAAACTTGGTTTTTAGGCGTATTTAGCAAAACCATGTCGGGCGCTGAAAATAATAGTGGAAGATTGAACCCATGAGATTGGATTGGCCATCTGAGAGGGCAATGATTTGAGTATTAATTTACTACAACGCACAATTATAGTGACAATACAAGCATCTGCAAATGACTTGTCTCTGACTCCGATTTTTATAGAAGCACAACACAGATGCTTTGAGAGAAAAGAAATAAATCCATGACAGTGTTAGCCAGCCATAGTGTGTATGTGTAGGCGGGTGTGTGGGCGGCCTGTGGGACAGGATTCATATGTACTTAGTCTTCAAGATAACAATTTAGCATAAAATGCATGGATAATTCACAATTTGTGAAGATGACCACTTGATGGCAGTCAGAACTTGTGTTGTTAAACATTTCTGCAGCTTGCTCTAGTGCTAGGATCTCTGCTGAGTAGTTGGAACAGAATTTACCAGAGAGTATATAACTTCGTGTGGCGATGGTTATCTGGGTATGTGATAAAGACGCCAGAACCCCCATTTTTAAATGCACTGGTTGCTGATGCATCTGTTTAAGCATGTATCCACAACTGCTCTGGATAGTGTTTCTGGATCATGCTAAGAGCAGCTGTTCATTTTTAAAAAGTCATTGGACTTATCTCCTGCTGTGAGTCCACTGACTGAAGTCATTATCTGTATTGTGTCACTGACTTGCTCCCAAGGTACAGGATAGGTTTCAGCGGTGTTGTTCTCATGGATAGTTCTGCTGTCTTCTAAGTCTTCCCCGATGGACAAAAGCTGCTACGTTTGAGACACCCCAATGCCAGATCATCTGATCTTGCATTTATTGGGTATAATTGCATACTATTAAACTTCTCCATCTGGATTATAGTTTTAGTGTCTCTTCTGTAGAACAATGTCTGCATTGCAGTTATTTTCTGATTCTCCAGGATTGGTGAAGTTTTCATGAAACCTTTGATAAGTCTGAGGGCTTGATTTTGCACTCTGTCTAATGATTGTGGATGGGAATTAGCAGCTGACGACCAAACTATTCTTATTTCCTTCAAATTTCTTCTTTTTCTTTTTCTTCCTCCTTCTCCTCTTCTTCTTCCTTCTCATCCTCCATTTTCTTCTTCTTCTGATCTCCCAAAAGAACATGAGCCCGCAACCAAGTCTTACCAGACACTTTGTAGACTTATTCTTCTTATTATTCATCCAATTGACGTAAATGCATTGTGCCTGTTTACAGCAGGGCTGTTATATTTTGCCTTTTGGCTGACACATCCCACTTTGTCAGGCCTTTGTTGACCGAGTTAACTTCCCAGATAGTTTCTTGGGGCAGGGACATGTTGTGGCCTTATTTGTGTGGTGTTCTCTCTGTCCTCTTATCTACTGGTGTCGTCCCTGAAGGCCCCATCCAGGCCATCCGCATCAAGACAGGTCAGCCCTCAACGGAAGGCATGGGCAGTCCCCGCCAATGTAGAGCTGACACATGGCGCTGCGGTCCTGACATTACTACCTAATTTCACGTCTGTATTTTGAGCTTCACAATCGTCGGGTGCTGCGCCCTCTGAGGATGAGCAGGGAGAAGATCTGGGGCTTCACTGGCCACACAGATGGGTACATTTTATTGGGCACTTTAGACATGTTCTGTGTTATTTCATCTGGAAACTTAGCCAGCCAGTACAGCAAGGGTATGCATCTGTCTTAGCTGCCCCTTTTAGATCCCACACTCTGTTGAGTGGGGCCAGTGGTAATGGGCAAGTGAACTTTTCTGCCCATCAGTAGTACTTTTTCCGGTCAGACATTTTATAGACTTATTCACGATTAGTTGGATGAAGCAACGAATATTATGACCATCCTTCTTAGTCACCTTTTGTGACATGAAGGCTAAGTTATGATGTTACTGTTCTTTGTTTCTCTTATCAGTACTGATGAAATTTCCCGTGTGGGTTCCGGGGCCCTTCTATGGGACAAACAAGAATAGACCCACTGCCTACCTAAAAGCATGTCGTAAGAGTCGACTAATTGGGAGTTTCCTTCGAAGTCGGAGTGCATCTGCCTGAGAGGCAAGGAATCAACAGTCTGCATACAGATCTGTCAAACGGATGCACACGCAACACTCAGGTTCTGGAACAGGACTGCAGTCCAGAAGTGGACGAACAACCAGAACTTTCCGCCGGAGTTTACAGCCGGTGAACGAGAAGAAGTACTGATGAAATACTGGTGGAGTTAAAAGTTAATTGTTTACATATTCTTCTTGTATATTACTGTCTATTGCAGGCACTCATACCTCTTTGTCACAGCCGTTATTCTCTAGTGTGTAAACTCACACTTACTTACTTTTTAGATCATCTTCTACCTTGGGGTGTAGAGGTTTGCCAGAGAGATCACCAGATTTCTCTATCAGCAGTTTTTCTTTTTGGCTTTGTTCCATTCTGGTCCTCTGTCAGTCATTGACTGTCAGATGTTATCTTCCCCGTGAACCATGGATCGCCCTGGTAATTTGGCTGCCTGGTTCTTGACCTTCCATGCCTGCCATGTTTGTAAATTCAGTTACTGATATCTCTCCTTGCCATATGCAAGACTTCTTCTATCTTCACTCTTTGCCCTGATGAGGCAGAAACCCTCAACCAACTCACGCCAAGTTGTCCTATTATTTGCTGTTGCATGCAGTTCTCCCCATGTCCTCACTGTCTGTTCAACTTACACTCTCTAGCACCCATCTCTCTGTGTTTTCTTGGTCTCCATTTATTTATGAGCCCCTGTGGGTTCCATTACAAAGACATTCTAGTTTTATTGTTCTCAGGTTTTGTCTGTGTGTCTCATCAAACTAGTCTTTTCTTCACCTCTTGATTCACTAGAATTTGTTTAGTTCTCTCCCAGAGCTCTGTAAGAGGTAAACTGTCTTCATCTTTCAGATCAGAAGATGTAATTGGGGAATTGAGTGTGTTACCTATTACTGAAATACTGATCAGTCTTGGTTTTGTGTGGTTTCAGGGTAATGAAAACAGCCTTCCCATGGAAATGTGTTCTACATGTAAGTACATCGTTTTACTTCTCTCATCTTGTTTATGGAGCAGGATTTTCTTTAGTGAAGTTTACATGACTAAACTATTGTCTCATAATTAATAAACATGCAAGTTACAGGATATATATATATATATATATATATATATATATATATATATATATATATATATATATATATATATATATATATATATATATATATATATAGATAAGAGAGATAGAGAGAGAGAGAGAATAGGAGGCAAAAAATGTCATTTGTGTGTTTTGCAGCATTTCTGTTTGTGATAGCATCTGTTATAAAGTCTGTATTTGTTCTGGCATATGTTCATTGTAACATCTGGATTTTATTGATAAAAAACCTGTTTGGGGAGGGGGGGGGGGGTGAATTAATTCATCACTACATACCTTTATTTCTTTTTTTTAAAAGTATGCAGTAATCTGCTTGAGTGCAGTACAATATTACTGTCTCATTAATTAACAAAATATAATATTACAAGTGTAAGGTAAAGTAGTCACATAGCAGATATGGCTATTGGGGCGGGACGTGTTAAAAATTTACTGATTTTAGGAGAGTTTTCCTATTTTGTAGTCCATGGACCCTCCCGGGTCCTTGTGGGTTCTTGGGTCTCACTGGAGGGTTTAAAAAAAAAAGACCCACTGCTTTCCCAACAGGCATGTCGTAAGAGTTGACTAATCAGGGCTTTCCTTCGAAGTCAGAGTTCATCTGCCTGAGGGGCAAGGAACCAACAGTCTGCTTACAAGTAAGCCAGATCTGTAAAACAGATGTGCACAAAAAAAAACAAAAGTTATGGAACAAGACCAAAAGTCTAAAGTTCATGAACAACCAGAACTTTCCACTAAAGTTTACAGCCAGTGAATATTAAGAAGTAGTAGTTCTAGGTGATGAAATATGAGATGGAGTGGCCTGTTCTTTGCCACCTTTCCACACAAAGCCCAGGAAAATCTGAAAATTATTGGATATTCTTCTTCTTCTTCTTCGCATTCACCAGCTGTAAACTCTGGTGGAAAGTTCTGGTTGGTCGTCCACTGCTGTCCATCAAATGGACTAGACCACTGGCTCAGCATAGATCAGCTCCCAGATGGACAGCAGATGGAAAATGAACTAGACCACTGGCTCAGCATAGATCAGCTCTCAGATGGACAGCAGATGGGAAATTAATTACCAAGCCACTGGCTCAGCATAGATCAGCTCTCAGATGGACAGCAGATGGAAAATTACCAGACCACTGGCTCAGCATAGATCAGCTCTCAGATGGACAGCAGATGGGAAATTAATTACCAGACCACTGGCTCAGCATAGATCAGCTCTCAGATGGACAGCAGATGGAAAATTACCAGACCACTGGCTCAGCATAGATCAGCTCTCAGATGGACAGCTCTCCGATGGACAGCAAATGGAAAAGGAACTAGGCCACTGGCTCAGCATAGATCAGCTCTCAGATGGACAGCAGATGAAAAAATTACCAGACCACTAGTTCAACACATGACAGCACACTGATGGACAGCAGATGAAAAATTAGCCGAACCAATGGCTGAGTCTAGGACAGCCCCCTGATAGACAGCATATGGGAAATTCACTGGACCACAGGCTCGACATAGGTCAGGTCTCCCATGGACAGTAGATGGGGAAAAAAAAGAGGAAACATGGATAACCTGAGGAAACCTTGAGAATATTTGTTATTTGTTGTCCGTATCACCATTCTAGCACATCTGTCTGACCATTCATGCTCCGTGCTCCGATGCTTCGGCCATCTCAGTGTCTCCATGCCCAATGTGCCCACTAGGAGATGTTTGACATATCTTCTTTCTTTGCCCCACAACCAATTTCTGCCCGCTTGTCCTCGTTTAATACCCATTTCTGGCAGGTTGTTCATTGTCTCTGACTTCTTTGTCTCAGCATCTCTGAAACGTAGCGCAATCAGTGTGTCTGCCCTGCCCATACTTCTTTCTCCACTAACCACTACAGACATAGCCTGTCTGTTGGATCTTTCATTTTCATTCACCGCGGCGTATCCCAGTATGTTTACCTGGAGAAAAGTAAAGACATTGCAGCCGAGCTGTGAACCACAACAGAATGCGCTAGCTGATCATTTAAAGGCGAACACAGAAAAAGAAGAAGAAAACAAATTGATACGAAATAATTTGAAAAGGATAAGTAGTTTTATTAGAAAACAAGTGAAATGGTTTGGCCATATAATGTGGATGCCAACAAACAGAATATACCACAGCAAGCAGTGATATACAGACCAGGCAGGAAGAAGAGCTGACCATGCAAATGATGGACAGAGAGAATAACAGAGCCCCTGGGAATCCCCATTTACAAAGTGCACAAACTGCACTTTCCAATAAAATGTTTGATGTTATTGTGAGAATGTTTCTGAATCCAGAATTTCAAACATACTGCTTTCTGTTTTGATCAGTTGACATGGACGAAATCAAACGACTCGGTAAGCGTTTTCGCAAGTTGGATCTGGATCACTCAGGAGCCCTCAGTATTGATGAGTTTATGTCATTACCAGAGCTGCACCAGAACCCTCTGGTTCAAAGAGTTATAGATATTTTTGATACAGATGGTAACGGGGAAGTTGACTTTAAAGGTAATAATAATTGTTTTCATTTTACTTGACTATAATCTATTCTGCTGGGAATTTAGACAGAAGTGCTTCTTCTTCTTCCTCTTCTTCTTCTGCTGCTGCTGCTGCTTCTTATTCTTCTTCTTCTTCTTATATTTCTTCTTCTTTTTCTTCTTCTTCTTCTTCTTCTTCTTCTTCTTCTTCTTCTTATATTTCTTCTTCTTCTTCTTCTTCTTCTTCTTCTTCTTCTTCTTCTTCTTCTTCTTCTTCTTCTTCTTCTTCTTCTTCTTCTTCTTCTTCTTCTTCTTCTTCTTATTCTTCTTCTTCTTCTTATATTTCTTCTGCTGCTGCTGCTTCTTCTTATTTTTCTTCTTCTATTTCTTCTCCTTCTCCTTCTTCTCCTCCTTCTTCTTCTTCTTCTTCTTCTTCTTCTTCTTCTTCTTCTTCTTCTTCTTCTTCTTCTTCTTCTTCTTCTTCTTCTTCTTCTTCTTCTTCTTCTTCTTCTTCTTCTTCTTCTGCTGCTGCTGCTTCTGCTTCTTCTTCTTCTTCTGCTGCTGCTTCTGCTTCTTCTTCTTCTTCTTCTTCTTCTTATTTTTCTTGTGATTGTAGGCTTCATTTACATTGACAGATGAGTTCTTATGATAAAATTGGCTGGTTTTCTTTTTAGTTCCTCTTTTATTCTATAAACTTTGAGTATAGTGTTGACTCATTGGGTTAGTATTCCATTTTTAATGGGCTGTGCAAGAGAAAGTCTGGCAGAACATCTTCTGCAGTTTTTACGCACAGCCAACATGAGCGCAGTGATGAACTAACTACTCAGGCGAAGCCTGTGCATATATACTTGTTAAGTTTGTCATGCCCTGTCCTGAAACCTGGAATGATGATCCGTCAAGTATCGGTGCCCTGATTCTTTTCACTTCTTGTAGACTGGATGGCAGTTTCCCCCTCAAAGTATGTAAAGTCATGTCTTCCTGTTCATATTCTTTCTCCTTGCTGTGTTCAGCTTAATATTTTTATGGCTAATACAATCGTCAGGGGTCTGACACACTTGGCTCAGAAGTGACAAGAAAGGGTTGAATAACACACATTGGTAGCTCTCCAGGACCAGGGTTCACATTTCATCATAGTTATCATAGAAACATGTTCCCTGCCAACGGTCTGGCCAGTGTTAAAATGTAGTTAAGATTGACGTTCCTTCGAAGTAGGAGCACATATGGCTGAGAGGGGAGGAACCAACAGTCTGCAAGTAAATAAGCCAGATCTGTGTTTTAAAAAAAAAGGATGCGAGCAAAATGAGCAAGTCCTGAAGCAAAACCAAAGTTTGGAAGTAAACCAACAGCCAGGGCTTCCCAATTAAGTTTACAGCCCCGGTGAATTGTAAGAAGAAAAGAAGTCGAATCCAAACTGAGTAAGTTTGAGGCCTGGCTATTTTTACTATAGCTCCATTAATTACGATAGAACCATTACAAAAAACTACACACATACACACACGCATGTATGCACATACCCACACAAAAGTATTAAGTAAAGCATTGGAAGAAAAAAAGCAGAGGGGGGGGGGGGTGAGGAAGGGGCATACAGAGAATGAGCACAAACATTGAGAATGGAAGAGATGTTATATACACAAAAAGGTATTTTAAAAAGGGAAAGTGAAATGATTAAAGGGACACATACAGAAAACGAAGGAAGACTTTGAAAGCCTGAGGAGGAGAATTAAATCACAGAGAGAATGCTGAGAGACATGCAGTGTAAGAGAATGAGAGAGGGCAGAAGAGGGATTATTTTAATTGAAAGTTGACGCTCTTGTTGTATACCACAGAATTTATTGAAGGCATTTCACAGTTCAGTGTCAAAGGTGACAAGGAATCCAAACTGAGGTGTAAGTATTCCTTGTTACGTGTAATTGGAACTTGCCAAATGTCGTACATTTATGTCATTGTTCTTCTCAAAAGCTTTACCACTGTGGGCTTGGCATTTTCATTTGTCCTGATAGGAAAATTGTGTAATTATGTTGACATAATAAAATTAATATTGATTTGTTACATCAGCATACTGTATTAAGGAAGATAAATTTTACAAATTTGAATTTGGCTTTAAATCCACATTGCGACTGTTTGAAAAAAAAAATATTCCTAGTAGCCGTCTTCTCATACTTGTGTCTTCAGTATGTATTATAATAGTGTTTGGGCGTCATTTGATATTTGTGAGTTATGTTAGTGTTTGTGCATTATTTGATATTTGTGACTGTTATGTTAGTGTTTGTGCATTATTTGATATTTGTGACAGTTATGTCAGTGTTTGTGCATTATTTGACATTTGTGATAGTTATTTTAGTGTTTGTGCATTATTTGACATTTGTGATAGTTATTTTAGTGTTTGTGCATTATTTGACATTTGTGATAGTTATTTTAGTGTTTGTGCATTATTTGACATTTGTGACAGTTATTTTAGTATTTGTGCATTATTTGATATTTGTGACAGTTATGTTAGTGTTTGTGCATTATTTGATATTTGTGACAGTTATTTTAGTGTTTGTGCATTATTTGATATTTGTGACAGTTATTTTAGTGTTTGTGCATTATTTGATATTTGTGACAGTCAGTGCTGTGTATTATTTGATATTTTTTAGAGTTATGTTAGTGTTTGTGCATCATTTGATATCTGTGACAGTTATTTTAGTATTTGTGCATTATTTGGTATTTGTGACAGTTATTTTAGTATTTGTGCATTATTTGATTATTTGTGACAGTTATTTTAGTATTTGTGCATTATTTGATATTTGTGACAGTTATTTTAGTATTTGTGCATTATTTGTTATTTGTGACAGTTATATAAATGTTTTTGCATTATTTGACATTTGCAACAGTTGCTTTCAAAATCTACGATATGGACAAAGATGGCTACATTTCCAATGGTGAGCTGTTCCAAGTGTTGAAAATGATGGTTGGCAACAACCTCAGAGACACCCAGTTGCAGCAGATAGTGGACAAAACCATCATTCATGCAGACACAGATGGTGACGGCAAGATCTCATTTGAGGAGTTTTGTGTAGTAAGTATTTTTCCATCAGCTTGCTCCCCCCTCCTTTCCTCTTTCTGTCTGTCTCTAATTTTTTCTGAGTGTTTATGGTGAAAGAGAGAGAGAGAGGGAATGAGGGTGAGTGTTTAAGTGTCTTTCTGTCTCTCTTTATCTCTGTGTGTGTGTATGTGTGAAGGAGAGGGAATGAGTGAATAAATGAGAGTGGTGAGTGAGTCAGTCAGTGGGTGAGTGAATGAGAGATTGAGTGAATTATTTAATAACATGGGTTTTGAGCAGATGTTCATTGCAGGATTTCATGTGAGGAGTTTTGTGATGCGAATATTTGCCCCTCAGCTTTCTGTCGCTCCCCTCTCAGTACCTAATTTATGTGTGTGCATGAATGTGAGTGAGTGATTGAGAGAGAATTTTCACATGTCTCCCTCTTTCTCACCTGTGTCTCTCACTCTCCTCTCTGTCTTTCATTATCACTCTTTCTGTCTATCAGTGTGTTTCTCTCTCTATCCATCTGTCTGTCTGTCTGCCTGTCTGTCTATATCCCCACACATATTTGATAAAAAGAGAGTAAGAGGAAGAGGAACAACAACAACAAAAATACCTGGATGGCCTGGCCAGATGGAGGCAAGACAAAAACAATGAACTGATCCGTGATTTTGATGATCTTGTGGGATGGTGAAACATGACAGCCTACGCTTACCGGCACGGCACATGATGATGATGATGTTGATAATCAGCTGCAATGAGAATAATGATGATGATGAACAGTTTCTCTTATTGACATGTAGCTAACTATACTGATAGTCTTTTTTTCCCCCCTCACCATTACAGGTTGTCGGAAATATGGATGTTCACAAGAAGATGGTCGTGGACGTGTAAAATTGGCCAGCACACTTTCACATATCTCATCTTTTTTTATGTCAAGCACCTTTAGCATATATTTCAACTGAGCTCTTTCAGTCAACCAATGAAGGCAGGCATGCAGACGTGAAATAATTATGTTCACAAATTGTAAGACTATATTTTTGTAAACATTTTTGTATGAATACGGCTTTAAAAAAAATAAATCAGACAAGCATCTTGGGAAGTGCTATATTTTTGTCACATTTCTGAACACCAGTTGTGCATTTTCATAATGATAATTTATTTTGCTGTGAAAAATTTTAAAATACAGTATTGAACAAAACAACGAGGTAACTGAAATATTTTGTTAAAGATTATCATGTGTAGTTATGAGCATGTGAGTCGAGAAGAGATGGCATGGCCAGGAACTGAGAGAAATGGACAGTGAATTCTGTTTTTAAAAGAAAAAAATTAATGCATGTATTATGCTTCTTAAAGGTCGTGGATTTTTGTTGTTGAAAAATGACCTTGACTCCCAGACGACCCAGCCCTGAGTGGGTACCAAGTGCAGTCCTGGGAAGTAAAGGCGGCTGACCACATCACCCAGCAAGTGCCAACTGGTCAATAAAACTATAAGTCTAGCCCTATATTCCCAATATGCCTAAAGGCGTGGAAAAGGGACCTTTACTTTTTACTTTCTTATGCTTCTTAATTCTGTCTGTTAGTTGCGTATCCTTTACAGGACGTTGAAGAACCAACCCCAGCAGCCCCTGGCTGTTGTGTGGTTTCTCTAGGCAAATTTACGTCCAGCTGTTTGCCATTGTTTTTTGGACGGTCGGCTTCCTAAAACCACTGTTGAAACCAACGTAAGGCACATAGCCTGCAGCTGGGAGTGAACCCGGCACCCTGGCTTTACGAAGCGTTCCCATCGAATTAGCCACAGAGCCGACTAATTCTGTCAGTAAGTAAAAGTAAAGTAAAGATCCCTTAATACGCCCTTAGGTGCATCAGGCATATGTGAAGAGCACCCATATTTTTACAGACCAATCGGCACTCGGTGGGTAATGTGGTCAGCATTACGCCGGCCGTCTTTACTTTCCCAGGACAGCGCATCCTGGTACCCATTTGAGGCTGGGTCGACCTGCGACGTCCCATACCACGATAAAAATCCACGCAGCCCGCAGTGGGTTTCGATCGCGGTACGTTGGATTACGAGTCAGACTCGCAACGCCTTAGCCACGGATGCCGCAATTCTGTCAGCACGAGGTAAAAATTACATTGACTGTTTCTGTCAGGTGGTTCAAGTTCAGGGCTGTTCAACTACTGCAGAGGCCCAGTAACTGGCCTGCGGAGTATTGCCAAATGTATTCTATTAATGATGTTTCTTTGTTGGGGCTCAGGCCACTGGCCTGTGACATGATCCCCGTTTTCAACATTTGAGTGGAATACACTTAGTTGAATATTCCTGTTAGTTTATAGTAGCAGAATTTGAGTATAAAGACATTTAAATACTTCCTTATGTGGGTTCTGGGGCCCCATTGTAGGGAGGAAAAACAAGAATACAAACCCCCCCCCCCCCCCCCCCCCCCCCCCCCCCCCCCCAGCATGCATGTCATAAGTCTACTACTTAGGGGTGCTTCCTTTGGAGCAGGTGTGCATCTGCCTGACAGGTGAGGAACTAACATTCTGCCTGCAAAAAAAGCTAGGTCTGGAAAACGGATGTGCATGCCAAAATTCAAGTTCTGAAACAAGGCTCAAGTGCAGACGTGGACAAACAAACAGGATCTGTCGCTGGAGTTTACAGCCGGGGAACACTAAGAAGAAAGAAGGAGATGAAAATACACTGTGTGACAAAAGGAGCTAAGCTTATGTGTTGCATAGGAGTTAATGTAGCAACTGTCTGTGATAGACAAGAGTTAGAAAAGCGTACTGCTTTTGGATTAACCAAGGAATGTGTAGTGAATCACATGGTACAGAAAGGGTTAAAGCATGAAACTAAAGTGTGAAGGCATGAAATTAAAGTTTAAAAACTTTGGATTGTCACTATGAAATAGTTAAAATATGTTCTCCTGTATTCTTTGTTAGGGCAATAATGGCAACAGATGTACTTGGTGATCAGAATATCCTTCTGCATTGATTTTAGTGATTTGATATGATACAAATAAAACAGGCTTTGATACAGTACAAAAGTAATGGTGTAGTTGACATTACAACAGGGGTTGGAATGTCGTGTGTATGTGTGTGTGCTCGCACACACACCTTCTTCAAACGAAAAGAACTGTTGTAAGCTTGTTTTAAAAAGTGTTACGAGTATTTCTTATCATCATCATGAAGTGAGTTATGTTACACTATTTTGCCAAGCCTGTGACTCATTAAATCCAATTTTGATAATTGTTTCTTTCGCTTTAGCTTTTCTCTACCTACAAGACAGCAGGGCTGTGTCTGTCTATTTTGGCTCTATTTCTTGACCTGACATAGGAGATCCTACCGGTAGCTAAGCTTCTGCTGGCAAGGCATTTAGGGTGACTGGAACTTACCAGCCCCCCCCAACCCCCTAAACACACCAGTAAGTAAACAGAGGGTATACGATAAAGTGTACTAATTGACTTGACTTTACATCAGAAGTAAGTAGTATGTTATGTGATTATTCAGGCACAAAGAGCTGCTAACTATTTCTATTTTTTCCCTCTCATTTTCCTGTTGAGGTTTTGGGGATCTCCTTGGCTAGTTGAGCCATGTGTTCCTTGCTGTGAAGGTCGTGGGTTTGTTGTTGTTGGCCACGCCATTCGGTTAATTAAAGTGCATTTTTTAATGGGAATTCCTGAGGATGGTTGTTGGAGCTTCAGTGTTCATGCTTTATATGGCAAGGGGCTAGCCATTCTGCGGAAGGAAACCAAGCCATATGGGTTAACACCCAATGCAGTAGAGTCGACCCCTTTGCTTTAATTCTTCATTGTTAATATTCTGTTTAAAAAAAGAGTTGCTGAGTGTGATTAGTGAGAATCTTCATCGCAGCCTTCCGGAACAGGTCCATAGGTGCCTCGAACTCCTCATCAAAAGCACCGTAAGCTTAAAATGACTGAAGATGCCTGTTCTGTATCGATTAACCAAACTTCTTGTCCCCTTGTCACTGAGTGTATCCCTAATGATGAACTGAAGGACATTTTGATCACTTTGTATGTGTCCACATTGTAAAAAAAAACTTTGTACAATCAATTGTTTACTTCCTGTATTACAGGAGTTTGTTTAGGATAATTTTATAATGTTATCACAATGTCTAATTACTTGAGCCTAATCAGGAGTTTTTAGTAAACATTTTGTACTGTATCTTTGCACCTCTTGCCCTAGTAAACCTTGAGAAGAAAAAACACACAAACTCAGGAATTACAGGATTACAGGGCTGGTTGTGTAGTATTCACAGTGCATACCAGTATGTGACGCATGATGTAGTCAGAAGCCAGCAGAAGTGTTGTAGCTCACTGTGCCTCTGTTTGTGACAATCAGAATGACTTGCAGATCCTGTCTGCCATCTAGTTGTATTATGTATTATACGGTGAGGGGGTAAATGACTATAGAAAGTAAGGTTATGCTAAATTAAATTTTTAATATTACAACACTAGTGTCTGTTTATAATGTTGTTGTCAGAGTGTCTAATTACTTGAGTCTAATCTTGAGTTTTTAGTGAACAGTTTATATTTCGTCTTTAATCTTTAACCCTCTTTCCCTAGTAACCTTTAGAGGAAAAACTTACAAACTTATTGTCATAAGGAAACCCTCTGAATGCTATAGTGTATTTACAATCAAGCCTCCTAAATACTACACAGGCACACAAAGAATCAGTGGCATTTAACAATGCTTTTCAAGAACAGGTCACTTAAGAAATCGCCATCTGTCGGCATTTAAAAAGCTTTGTCACAACCGGAAGTGATTAGATTTAGCCTTGTCGGGGTGAAAGAGTTAATTAATTACTAGGTTAGGTACTAGACAGTGTTTGAGGTCACATTATAACCTAAATGGTGTTTGGAGTAATTTTTAGCTCCTTATTAGATTTTAGACTGACCGGCAGTTGGTGTCTTTCTAAACACTGGCTAATTGTAGTATGATAGTATTTGGTGTTAATTTAAGCATCTGATTAGGTACACTTTTTTTCTGTCAAGTCGGAGTACATCTGCCCGAGCGGCAAGGAACAGGCAGCTGCACACAAATAAGCCAGTAAAACAGATGTACATGCAGAACTCAGGCCCTGGAACAAATCCAAAGTCCAAACTAATAAACAACCAGGACTTTCCGCCAGAGCTTACAGCCGGTGATCAAAGAAGAAGGTACATTGTAAACAGAAAATGCCATTGCTCTTGGACAAATCAGCAGCCAGCCTGGTGTTTGGTGTAGTTTTAAACAACTAGCTATGGGGTGAGGTGGGCCGAGTGGTCTCGAGCTAAGATGTCTGCCTGGAGGTCCCGGGTTCAAACCCTGATGAAGGCTGGGATTTTTTCACTTGGACTTCTAGTAATTTCCCCTGGTCTCTGAGTAGTAAGATCGGACGCCTGTGTGTATTGTTGCGCATGTAAAAAAAAAAAATCCTGAGCAGTTGGAAATCTAAAAAAAGTAGCCTACCGACACTGCCAGGGAAAAATTTGGAGTTAAAAATCTACCCAAAGTATTTCAGGATCCTCGCCGGTGCAACAGAGTTCGTGCACTGCGCTGAGATTCTTCAGGCTCAGGCTTGAGTTAGAAGTAAAACGGAGTACTTATGGGTTACACCTGTGTGCCATGATGTTGATCCGTCAAATAAACAAACAGCAAGCTAATTGTAACAAAAGGGGTTTAGGGTGTCATTTGAAACATTCGGCTAATTGTAACCTGACTGGTGTATCATTTTAAACAACTGGCTGGTTGAAGCATCTGGCCAGGTACAAGTTCACATTTTCATCGATTTTGACAAATCATCAGCAGGTCTGGTGACATTGCCTTAATATCATTGATTTTTATCATTGTTTAGTGTTTTTTAATAAAAGCTGTTGATATTTATATACAGT